TAGGGGGGTTGGCCCCGCACATAGCCATTACGCTAACTGCTGGTTCCCAAGAAAGGAATCCTTTTTATCATAGCCACAAAATGTATAATATACTTAGGGATAAATCTAACTAAGGAAGTCAAAAATCTTTACAAAGAAAACTATGAAAATCCTAAAAAAGATATTGAAAATGACACCAAAAAAGTGAAAGGACATTTCATGTTCCTGGATTGGAAGAATCAATATAATCAAAATGGCAATTCTTCCCCAATTAATCTGCCTATTTAATGCAATTCCAATCAAATTACCAGAGATATTCTTCACAGACATAGAAAAGATGATCATAGAACTTGTCTGGAATCATAAAAGACCTAGTATTGCCAAAGCAATCCTGTGCAAGAAGAACGGAGTAGGTGGCATCTCACTCACTGACCCCAAAATATACTATAAAGCTGTGATAATCAAAATAGCATGGTATTGGCATGAAAACAGATAGTTGGACCAATGAAATAGAATAGAAACCCCAGAAATCAACCCCAAAACATATAGCCAACTGATTTTTGACAAAGGATACCAGTCAATCTAGTGGGAAAAGAAAACTTCTTTAGCAAATGGTGCTGGATAAACTGGGTATCCACCTGCAGAAAGATAAAACTGGATCCCCATCTTTCACCATTAACAAAAATCAACTTGAAATGGATCATAGATCTGAACCTAAGACCTCAAACTCTAAAACTACTGGTGGAAAACAATGGGGAAATTCTGGGAGACATCGGGGTAAGCAAAGATTTCTCAAATAAGACTCCCAAAGCACAGACAATAATCCCCAAAACAGGCAAGTAGGATTACATCAAATTAAGAAGTTTATGCTCTGCCAAGGACACAGTAAGTAGTGTGAATTGACAACCCTCAGAATGGGAGAATATTTTGTAAACTATGCCTCAGATAAGAGACTGATAACCAAAATACACAGAGAATTTAAGTGGCTTACCTGGGGGGAAAAATGATTAACTCAATTAAAAGATGGGGAAATGAGCTGAACAAAATGCTCTCTAAGGGAGACATCTGAACAGCCAAGAAGCATATGAGGAAATGCTCAGCATCCCTCATAAGAGAGATGCATATTAAAATAATGAGATACCACCTAACCCCTGCCCAAATGGCAAAGGTTAAAAATACAAAAAATGGTAGTTGTTGGTGGGGTTGTGGTGAAAGGGGAACTCCCCTACACTGTTGGTGGGAATGTAAATGGTCCAGCCTCTGTGGAAAACAATACAGAGGCTGCTCCAAGACCTACAAATAGAACTACCATTTGATCCAGCAGTTCCACTCCTGGGTATCTACCCAAAGGATAGAAGAATGCTCGGCTGAAAAAGTGTTTGCACATCAATGTTTATTGTGGTATTAGTCATGATTGCTGAGACATGGAACCAACCCAAATGTCCACGAACAGATGAATAGATTGATAAAGTGTGGCACATATACTCTATGGAATCCTATTCAGCCATAAATAAAACAAGACCCTGGTATTCGATAGAAAGTGATTGAATATGGAAGATTTATGGCTGAGTGAAGCAAGCCAGGCTATGAAAGAGAGATACTGAGTGTTTCCACTTAACATATACCGATTGTCCGCACTCTTGGTAGAGAGATTAAAAGACTGGAGGACATAAAAAGCATTGAAAATTATTATGGACACTGGAGACAGTCTGGAGGGGGTATGGGAGAAGGGAAGAGTACAGGGAAGGAAAACAGGGAGAAAAAATAGAAAGGAAAGACATTTGGGGGACACACAAATGGTTTATTGCCTGTTGATGATAACATGAATAGTATTCTCAACTGGACTGCTCTGAGGCGTATTTCATGTTGGGTAAATTCTCTTTACAAGCCAAATGATGTATAGCAATCGAATGTTTTAAAAAATAAAATAGTAATGATATAAAAATAAAAAAAGAACAATGGTTCGACCTCACACCTTCAGCTACCAGCCAACCATCAGCCCCGTTTTGACCTCCTATTACCAGAAAATTGGAGGCTGATAGGAGTCCCTCACTGATGGGTCCCCCTGACTCCTGACCTGCCACACCCCCTCCCTTCCCTGCTGGCTGCATTTGTCACCACCAGCCAGACCCATCCTGCATCACTTGAAAGCTTGTGCAGACTAAGAGCACCACAGAGTGGGCTTAAATCTTGACCCTTTACTTACTAGCTGTGTGACTCTAGGCAAGTTACTAAGCCTTTCTGTGCTTTAGTTACCTCTTCTGTAAAGTGCAAGAAAGTGGTTTCTACTTGGCAAGTTGTGAGACCCAAGGGAGTGCGCCTGTGAGAAATACCTGGAGCTGGCCCAGAGCGAACGTCCTGTAATCGCCCTGTACTCAGGGCTGGGGTGCTCCTTCGCACCACTTCACCTGCACAGCAGAGCAGGCCCTCAGCACTCAGGACAGGCCAGCACGGGGACTCTGTGGGCTGCATTTGTTCATTGTGTGCTGAGTACGTGAAACTCACTGCAAGAGTAGACCTCAAGGGTTCCCAACATGCGCACACTCCACACACACACACACGTGAGGGGTGAATATGTTCAGTAGAGTAGCTCGCCTGAGGTATGTGCTTCACAATGTATACACGTATAGGGGTAGCACATTGCACACCTTCACAACTAAATAACAGCCTTTAACATGTCAAGTATTTAAAAGGAGAAGAGGAGGAAGAAGAAAAGGAATAGCTCAACATCTTAAAAGGCCAGACAGTAAACCCTCTAAGCTCCGTAGGCCACAGGGTTTCTGCCCTAACCACTGGACTCTAGACCTAGACCAGGTCTGTGCACTTTGGACTGAAATCATCTCATAATCTGTGGTCGTTTTCTTCTTTTCTTTCTTTATTACCAGAGGGTGCATGTACTCACCAGAGAGAGGGAAACAGAGACAGAGAAAGCACCCCCAGTGAGGTGTGGTCATGCTGCAATCCACTCCCCCCACCACCCCATCCTGTGAGAATTGTGGACATGCACACGTATGCACCAGATGTGTTTTTCAATCTGCTGGAGCCAGATACGAACTATGTGGTCCACCCTGTGGGATCCAGCTCCCTTAACTACTAAGGGCCACTGTGAATTCTTGACAACAGGTGCATGGCGTCCCTTCTCTTGCCCTTCTCTCTGTCACATCGCAGCCCTCACAGTCACCTCTTGGGTATGCACTAGGATCTGCATCACCAGAGCAAATCATCCTAAGGCCTGTGCCTCAGCCTCCCTTTCAGGCTGACAGTCCCTACCATTGTCCTCCCGTGGTCACAGAAACCAGTCAAGGCCCTGGTCAGTTATTGCCATGGTGGTTACAACAGTGGATTTTTCTACCTACACCATATTTTTTTGCATCTGTGAGCTGGCATTTTTCTATAAAGACACTTTCCCTGGGCCAAATGGTGCCATAGTGGTAACACAAGTGGATCATGGGAAAAGTCTTGGGTTCGCATCCTAGGACACCCCTGAGCATGCCAAGCACATACGTGCATGTCCATGATCTGGGACGGCTGAGACTGAAGGTAGCTAGCCGTGTCAAGTCCCTGTTGGGGGGTGTCTGTCTCTTTGTCTCTCTGTCTCTTTTTCTTTCTTTCTCATGGAAGAAATTGAGAACGAGGACCAGCAGCTGGCGTAATGGTTATGTTGTTGGACTCCCATGTAGTCGACCGCAGCTTGAGTTCCTAACCAAGCAATTTAAAACGCACGCTGGGCACATGTGCGTGCCAAAGATCCCAAGACGAGAATGGAGGAGAAGGGATTGCTCTGTGGCCATCCCCCCTATTTCTTGCTTTCTGTCTCTGTCTTTCTGGCAAGTGCACATACTCTACAGCAAAAATATCTCAAAAGCAGAAAAAGAAATTGAGGATGAAATTCTGACTACTTCTCCTGGTCAAAGATACTTTCTAAAGAGGCTGGGGGAGTCCAGTCTACAAATCTTGCTCTCGCAAGTGGCCCTGGCCCAGGATTCTGGGACGTCCCCGCTCCTAGCCCCAGCGTAGCACTTTATGACACTCAGTAAAGCTTTCTTGTCCCTGTTAAGTAAAACACAGGCATTCCTTCACTGACTCCAGGTCTTTTGGAAATAAAGATTTCTGATTTTAACCAATATACTAATCCTTGAATTTCGGAACCTACCTACAGTCTGCAGGCCCCTGCTTCCAGATGTCCTAGTTTTTTGGACCAGGCCCATGCAGGGATTCCTTATGTTGATTTGCATCTTGGTCTGCGTCATCTACTCTCAGAGCTAAATAAAAAGAACTGCTGCAACTGAACACTCCAGTAAAAGCTTTAGTGTTTTGGGGGGCCTGTCCACTCAGTGGCATGTTTAGAATAAATAGTTTTCATTATTATATTTTCTACAGCGCCTTGGTTATTTCTGCCAACAAAATAAATAAACTTTACTAACTGGCCGCATTCCTTTCCCAGCACCAGCTGGACTCGCTGCTTTTGGTCTGCTCACTGTGGTATAATAAATCCCTGTTATTACTTCTGTTAATGAGGCTCAAATTGCCCGACCAGTGGCCTCTTGTAGCTGCCTTCTGGGCCTTCGCCTCTACTTTCTGATATGACTATAGCCGATCTTAAGTTATTTAAAGAAATATTTGTTTCATCTTCATCTCAATACAGTAAAGGATGAGGGGCCAGCAGATGGTGTAATGGTTATGTTGCTGGACTCCCATATAGTCAACTACAGTTCAGGTCCCAGATCCGCTGGCTTAAAATTCAGCCAGTTGCATGTGCATGCGTGCCCAAGATCCTGAGAGGAGAATGCAGAAGGGATGGCAGTGTGGCCATCGCCCCTGGAGGGTGATTTTTTGCTTTCTGTATCTCTGTCTCTATCTCTCTGGTGAGTTCACATGCCCTATAGCAAAATAGCTCTAAAATAACAATAATTTCGGCTAGCAGGACTCTCGGCCATCTCCCCTTCCCAGGGGCAAGGGCCCAGGCAGTGCACAGGCCCTGACCGAGGATGGGCACGCGAGCAAGGAGCCGAGGCACCCACCTGCTCCTGGGTCTTCAGCACCTCCACCACCCTGAAGTTGTACTTGTCCCTGCTGGCCTTGTTGTACTCCTTCATGGCGAACCAGAGCGCCTGCTCCACGTACACGTAGCTCTTTGGGATGTCCTGGAATGCCCTCACCACCTTCGGCGAGCCCCAGGCTTGGACTCTCTGGGACAGGAGGGCTGCGGTGGCCACCAGGAGCACCAGGGCCTGGCAGAGTCTGGCCATGGCACCTCAGGCGAGGGGGCGCTCGGGCTCCTTCTGTCCTTCAGGGCAGGGGCTGGCCCGTGGACTGGGCTGGCCACGTGGCCTCTTCACATGCACACAGCCCTGAACCCCAGCTCTTCAGAACTGCTGCAGGTTAAAAGGAAGAGACCTGTTGGGACTAGCAGTTAGCATAATGGCTATGTCCCTGGACTCCCATGTAGTCGACCGCAGTTCGTGTCCTGGACCCGGTGGCTTAAAACTCATGCTGGGGGCGTGTGCGTGCATGCCCAAGATCCCGAGAGGAGAATGGAGGAGAAGGGATTGTGGTGTGGCCAACCACCCTGGGGGGTGATTTCTCGCTTTCTGTCTCTCTGTCTCTCTCTGTCTGTCTGGCGAGCGCACGCGCCCTATAGCAAAAACCTCTCAAAAAAAAAAAAAAGAGACCTGTTAACTCGCAGTGACCCGGTGGCATGCAGAAACGAGAAGGGCCAGCCACCATGGCCTTGCGGTGACAGTGCCAGCCCACGTAGGAAGTGCTGGGTTTGTTCCTGCCGTCTCCCTATGCACCCTGGGCAGCCCGCCCTGAGATCCCGGCAGACACGGGGGTGGGTCACTGAGTGAGGACCCTGTTTAGGGTGTCTCTTCCTCTTCGTCTCCCTCTCCCTTTCTCTCTCTTAGAAGAAAGAAAGAAACTTTAAAAGAAGGAATATTTGGTCTTCATCCCTGCTTCTAATACGGAATGCAGAAAACCCTGGAGATTTCTTGAGTGATAGGAATGTAAGGAGCACCTTCCGTAATTCCTAACAAGCCCCCTTCAACCACACCTGAGTTTATGTTAATGAGGCGATTGGTGAGCCCTGAGGATTTGAGGGATTTGCTCCAGAGGAACCAACTTTGGGATTAGAGCTGGAACTTTCCAGGGGAAAGGAGGAAGGGAGAAGAGATGGAGGCTGAGGTCATCACCAATGACTAGGTGCTCACTCTAAGACCCCACTGTGGGGCCAGCGGGTATCATGCTGGCTAAGGCACTGGACTCCCACGTGGCCAGCTGCAGTTGGAGTCCCAGACCTGTGGACTTTAAAAGCACGCAGAGCGTGTGCGCATGCCCAAAATCTCGAGAGGAAAATGGAGGAATTGGAGCACGTCCATCCTCCTTGGGGAATGATTTCTCACTCTCCATCATCTTTGTTTCTTTCTTGAGAGCACATGTGCCCTGTGGTTAAAAAAAAAAAAAAAAAAAATGAAGAAGAAACAAAAGGAAAAATAGAAACCTACTATGGCCGAGAGCTCGTGGGTGGGCGGGCACGTGGAGGTGTGGGAAGCGGTGCACGCTGGGTGGGCAGTAGCTCACGCACCCGCTTCCTGCCCACGGTTCCTCTTTGACTGGTGCTCACTTTGTCCACTGAAACTGGTGACAGTGATAAAGTGCTGCCCTGGGTGCTGTGAGCCATGGTAGGAAGCCACCCAACCTGATGGGGAGGGCGGGGGCAACCTCAAGTTGGAAGTGAGGATGACCTGGGCCCCTCCCACTCACGAGTGGTACCTGAAGTTGGGGACAGTCTTGCATGACTGAGCCCTTCTCCGGGGACCTGGGGCAGAGTGGAGCTGAGTTATGGGACACCCAGGTGCCGCCCACGGAGAGTGGGAGCTTTCGCTTGCTGTGGAAGCCCACACCCTTGTCAGGAGTGCCCTGTGCGTTAAACCGGAGTGTGGAATGACCCCCTTGAATAGCTGTTCTCTCTGTCCCCCAAAAGAAGCCAAATGAGCGCTCTGCAGTTACACATCAGCCCATTTTCACAGATGGTGCTTTCCTTTCTGGAAGGTTCATACCGCCACACACTTCCCTTTCCCTGCCCTGACGAGAGCCCACATCCTCGTCTTCAAGGACTGTCTGTGTCCACTGAAGACACCTGCCTGTGCCAGGTCGGTGCACAGAGGCGGCATGGGGGCAGAGGCAGGGGGTGTGCTCTTGAGAGCCCCTTCCTCCCCAAACCTCTCCAGGTGCGTGCGTGAGCACCCTCATCTAAGACTTCCAACAGGCCTTAATCCTGCCCTCCGGCTCCGCTGGTGAGGTTCAGGATGAACAATCTCCGAACAAGCAAAATTAGTGTACTAGTTACTTCCAGCTGAGGTCACCTGAGGAACTGTGGCCGTAGAAAAGGCCATTTGACTGGTCTTTTCCTACTCACAGCAAGCCATGAAGACTGCTCTAGGAGGGATGCCCCCCGTACGAGGGCAAGAAAAGCAGCCTTTCTCACCAGAGACCGGGAACTGAGGTTATCATGAGCAAACTCCTAAAATAACCCTCATCTTCCACCAGCTTCATACACCCCACCCCGTCTCACTGACCTCCCTGGAGTTGACACCCTGGTCCCGAGATCGCTTTGTCCTGTCGTTTCTGCTCTTTCTCTAAGAAGTATAAGAGCACCTTGCCGTGGCCACCTCCTCGGACTTCACACTCTTGGGAAGATGGCAGCCCCTATGGTGTGCACGCTTTCCTTGGGCATCTGCCTGTGTTAATGTGGCTCCTTGAAGAGCCCCCATGGGATCTGAGGGACAAAGGCAATTATTGGGCCCACCTACACGCATCTTTCTCGTCAGCTCATTCACAAGAACACAAGCATCTATTTATTGAGTACTGTTGAGTCTTCCAAGTGAAGTGCTATGATAAGCACTTCACATGTTTTTGAAGAATTATTTATTTTATTAATTTAATTCGTTAATTTTTAATTTGCTAGAGGGCACGTATACTCACTAGAGAGAGAGAGGGAGAGAGCAGAAGAGGGAGAAAGAAAACCATCAGGTCCAGGACTCGAACTGTGGTCAGCCATAGGGGAGTCCAGCTCCCCAACCACCACGCCACCTGCTGGCCCAGCATTTCACATGTTTTCTCTCACTGGATCATTTCCATCCCCCTGAGGGGCATATCATGAGTTACCCCTGTGTACAGTAGGAAAATAAAACTCCTAGAGGTCAAGTAAAGGCCTCCACTACTCCATGGCGGCCCCCGTGTTTGAACTCCCTGCCCGCCCCACCCCACCTGTCCACCTACCTCAGCCTCACAGACGTGCATACGTAGTCCTTTCTTGGAATGCACAGTGGCTTTTTGAGACTGTCCGATTCTACACAGAGGACAGATCAAGATGCAGCTCGTAAGGCGTTGGCAAATGTGTGTGATGTTTTAATAGAGGGCGAGGAGGGAGAGCTCCGGAGACAGAGGTGGGACTGATACGGTCACAAAGCTGGGTGAAGGACACAGGGCATCTACACTGGGCACAGAGCCACCTGATGTTCGGGCACTCCATTTCGAAGAGAGGCAAGAGCGGGACGTTCATGAGGTCCACATTCAGCCACCCTGTCGCAGCCACGTCCTGGCCCCTCGTATCCTCTCCCCAGGAGAGGCCAGGCTGACCAGCGTGGCCAGCTGTGCCCAGGCAGACGCCCATGTCTGTCGTAGAAACAAGTGTGAGTACCGGCACCTTCCATCCCTGGGCCCTGTGCTCAAGCCTCCGTGGTGGCCCGAGTAACTTTGAAATCAGGAAGGCTGACGCAGCAGGAGAGGCAGAAGACCCAGGATCCCGTAGCACGGTCTCCACCTCCACTCCCCATCCCCACTCCCCTGTGGCCTCGGCCTGCCCACCTGCCCCGTCTATTGGGTCCTCAGAAAAGTCATGGTGCATTTTTGCATAGAAAAAGAAAAATTACGGCTTTCCCAGCAACCTCGCACTTGCCTGCTTCTCCCCCAGTGTTCTACACTGACCTGGCAGAGGTGGGCTTTGCTCTGTGAACCGTTCTGTTCCCTGACCCATGGATGACATCCCCAGGGTGTGTGTGGAGGCCACCCCAGCCCACAGGACACAGCGACACCATGGACCCACCTCAGAGCCAAGTCCTTTGCCACACTCCCGGGTGCTTGGCCTGGGTTGCCTGCCTGCCTTGGCCCCTGGTGGTATCTCCCTCCTATGAGGACCTGAGCCAACCAGCCCCTGCCCCAGCCTGGTCTCCGGCACACTCAGTTCACCCCTGTGCCTGGTCAGGGCTCCAGGGGGGGCCTGCGCTCCAGGGCCCTTCTGCCCTCCTCAGCCAGGTGGTCACACCTGTAGCCCCTTTGTGAGGTAAGCCCAGGCCTCTGATGCTGCTCAAGTGACGGGCGCCCCTGGCAGCGTGCGAGTCCCCCCAGTCCTTCTTCTATGTCCACTGACTTCCCGAGTCTCTGGGCTTCAGACTGACCCAGCTGGGAGAGAATACACTTTCATGACTGTTTCTACCAAGGGCCTTGTATGACTCCATGGTCTTAGGGCAGGACAAGGCACCTAACAGGCAGGTTTAGGGACTTTGGGACAGAAAAGCCCTCGGGGAGGGGAGGCTGTGGATGCTACCTGGAGCAGGAGCTGGGGACCACCAACAGGCAGCGGTGGGTGCTGGAAACACCACGTAGAAGGAGTCAGCCAGCACCTGCCACGCTAGCTCATGCCCTGTGGGGTGAACAGTGAGCAGCCCCCTGCCACTCCTGTTGGCCTGCTAGCCACATCTACCCATCTGCAGACGACCCCGAGAAGCATTTCTGAGTGTGTGTATCCCATCGCCATGGGTCTTATAGCGCTGTGATTCTCAGTGTACCTGCGGCCTCCGTAGTGATGCCCAGTCAGCACTAAGCCCACACTGGTGTTGTGCCGTCACTTCAGCCTGAGTGTACGAGTCTTTCTGCCACACCCGCTACTCCTGAGCCTAGCACCTGTCAATACACAGACAAGCCGGTGGGCTCTGAGAGCCTTCACAAGGGGCACCTAGAAGCTGAAGGAACTTGTCTTTGGGGTTACAAACACGCAGCGCCTCTGAGCTGCTATCAGAGACACGGCTCGCTGAGACCCTGCCAGGCTGGTCGAGGGACAGGATGGGG